TGGAAACATTCAAGGCCAAGCTGGATGGGGCTCTGAGCAACCTGATCTAGTTGAAGATGTCCCTACCCGTTGCAAGGGGGTTGGACTAGATGACCTCTAAAGGTCCCTTCCATCCCAAAGCATTCTATGATTCTATGATTATCCGCGATTCACTACCAACATGGAAAGGAAGTAGCAAGTTTTGCAAATGATCTGCAAAGAAACTGTGAACCAACTGGATGCTTAACCCAAAGAGAAGGCTTGACAAGGGTAGAAATAGCACGGTATATGTCTTTATGTATGTAACAGTTACTTCAGAGAGAAAAATACTCTGTTCCAAACGGCCATGGTATACAGAACAAAAAGTAATGGGCTGCGAGATTAGTAAGGGAAAAATGAGGTTAGATACTAGAATACATACTAGGAAAATTTTCTAACAATAAGGACAGTGAAGCACTGAAGTAGATTACATGGGAAGAGTTTGCAATTGCCATCATTAGAAGTCATTAAGACAGGTATAGCTGACCCTGTCTTAGGACTCCATGCCACCTCCAGCTCCTGCTCAGCTCAGCAGCCCACTCGGCACCCACCAGCTGGCAGTGCTTTCCCTGCTTCAGGGTTTTATCACTTCAGTCACTTTGTTCCTCAGAGTTCAATGAGACCTTGGGCTTTTCCTTAGTAACCGAGGCCATCTACATGCAGGTTTCCTAGACTGCCTCGGACTCTACTCCTGTATTTCCTGGGTTTTCATTAACAAAAGATGATAAGAAATGTCACAAAAGTAAACATTTAATTCCATTTGACCCAACCATATCATTATAACAGACAAGTTTCATAAAATAAACAAGTTTTGAGCCAAGCAAAGATAGACTTTTTCCACTGACCGCAGAAAAGTCAACTATTTGCCAATTCTATTTATAACCCCTCTATCTCCAAAATGAGAGCATAGACAGAAGAAAAATATTGAGACTTTTTTTGTCCTTAGGTCAGCTGTGTACTGAGATGCTGACCTTGTCAGGAGCAGAAATCCAATCTGGAGAACAGTCACATAAGCCACCATCCACCATAGGAAACCAGGAGTACTTTCAGTGCCCAAGAGGGCAAGGCACAATGCAGTGTAAGTGTCTGCCACAATGGTAACTCCAGTCAAATCATGAACCAGGCCTTCTCTTGTTTAATTAATTACCCAAAGCTTCCAATGGTGCAGTAATAGACAGTACACACCATGCAGCAGCCACACATAAAAGAGCCCATAGCATTTGCATTTTCTAACCTCTTCCTAACGGGTGTCTGCCTTTATCTAAAAGGTTTTAATGCAAACGTGGATGAATGTGTCACTGTATCTCTGTTGTGATTTATGTTTGCAGTAGCTGGAGGAGCACAAGGGTACCTGTGTAATTGATAGGATGCTGTTTGATTTCTGGAAAGTTATTTCCCCTGTGCAGCTCTGTGTCTTTCAGAAATGGCAATCCATGTCTCCAGGGCACACTGTCAGAGTAGAGTTTTTTACTTCTTTAGTGCCTTCACTCATGGGTATTGTCAGAAACTTCAAAAATCAGGCTTAATATGAAGTTAGTGGGGTTTCTGAATCCATTACTTGTGTCCCTTTTTAACAAGTGCACTGCTGTCCTTTGGGACGTTCACAGAAGATGCACGCTCGCTCTTTGTGAGGTGAAATATGTCAGCTGGATTCTTCATGTTTGTTGCATACAGGGCCATCTCCAAGGAGGACATTACTACAGATGATGAATAGAATTGGAACAGCCTGGCGATAAGTGGCATATCCACCGAGTTTCACTATGGTGGTGGCAACAGAGCTGGTGGCCATTCATAGCTGTGGTGGGTTGACCCTGGCTGGATGCCAGGTGCCCACCAAAGCTGCTCTGTCAATCCCCCTGCTCAGCTGGACAGGGGAGAGAAAATATAATGAAAGCCTCGTGGGTTGAGATAAGGACAGGGAGAGATCATTCACCAGTTACTGTCATGAGTAAAACAGACTCAATTTGGGAAAATTAATTTAATTTATTGCCAATCAAATCAGAGCAGGGTAATGAGAAATAAAGCGTAAATCTTAGAACACCTTCCCCCACCCCTCCCTTCTTCCCGGGCTTAACTTCACTCTGAAGTTCCCTACCTCCTTCCCCGCAGGGGGATGGGGAAGGGGGATTGGGGTCAGTTCATCACACGTTGTCTCTGCCACTCCTTCCTCCTCAGGGGAGGACTCCTCATGCTCTTCCCCTGCTCCAGTGTGGGGTCCCTCCCACAGGAGACAGTCCTCCATGAACTTCTCCAATGTGAGTCCTTCCCACGGGCTGCAGTTCTTCACAAACTGTTCCAGCGTGGGTCCCTTCCATGGGGTGCAGTCCTTCAGGGACAGACTGCTCCAGCGTGGGTCCCCTGCC